GCCCAATCACTGCAATTACCGAAGCTTGTGGTGCCTAGAGCCCGGGAACTGCAACAGGAGAATCCCCTGCAATGAGAAGCCTGTGCACTGCGATGAAGAGTAGACCCTGCTGGCAGCAACTAGAAAAAGCCACATGCAGCAGCGAAGACCCACTGCAACCAAAAAATTAAGCAAATAAATACATGAATAGATGAACACTTTAAAAAAATACTGGACCTACCTGGAGAAAATCCTTGAAATGAGTTTACTTAGTGAATGACTGAAAAGAAAATTAGGGATCTTATAGGTTCTGGTGATGTGTGGACACAGCAGTTTTGCATTCCGGTGGAGTCAGCGAAAGTAATAAATAATAATAGGACTACTACCAGGCAGAAGGAGATGGCAGTGCTGCAGGAGTCTTGGGTGGCCTCAGATAGCCAATCCCCCACTGATAAGGCAATCCCTGCAGTCTGGCCTCTGTGGCATGGCCCGGCCCTTCTTGAGTGGAGACTAGGACCCGGGGTGGAAAGCCCTTCATCCTGAGAAATAAGCATGGTGGAAAAGTGGCCTCGCCCCCACCCGTCATGCACCAGAGGGTACTAAACCATTTGTAGATGACCTCCTTCTGGGTTGGGTTTCTGACTTAGCAGAGCAGCTCCCTCACTGTTGTGCTTGTTGTTTAGTCTCCCAGTCGTGGCCAACTCTTTGCGACCCCATGAACAGCAGCACACCAGACTTCCCTGTCTTTCGACTTCTCCCAGAGCTTGCTCAAACTCATGTCCATGGAGTCGATGATGCTTTCCAACCATCTCATCCTCTGCCGTCCCCTTCTCCTCTTGCCTTCAATCTTTCCCAACATCAGTGTCTTTTCCAGTGAGTAGGCTCCGGGCATCAGGCGGCCAAAGTATTGGAGCTTGAGCTTCAGCATCAGTCCTTCCAGTGAATATTCAGGATCGATTTCCTTTACAATTGACTGATTTGATCTTCTCTGTGTCTCTGGTGGCCCAGATGGCAAAGTATCTGCCTGCATTGCAGGAGACCCTGATTCGATCCATGGGTCAGGATGCTCCTCTGGAGAAGGGCATGGCAATCCACTGCAGTATTCTTGCCTAGAGAATTCCATGGACAGAGAAGCCTGGCGGGCTACACTCCATGGGATCACAAAGAGTTGGACAGGACTAAGCAACTAACACTTCCCTCACTGGCATCTATTGAATGTCAGCCCTGGACCCAAGGGTTTGGGAAAAAAAAAAAGTAATAATAATCCTTACATGAGAAAGAGGCTTTAGACTGATTGATGGGTTGGGATTGAGGTCTCTGAGGGCAGACACTAGTTTCAATTTTAGTTTGCTTTTGTTTTGTTTTGTTTGTTTGTTTTCAACTGTCAATTCTGCCAGAAGCTGTGAGAGAAGTGGTATCCATCTTTCAGGTGAGACAGTTGGAATACCAGAAGCTGAGGACATATGAGCTGAAGAAACCAACTGGGACATGGTGTAGGGCAGCATGGAGACCCTGAGTGAGAAGAGGTCCGTGCTGGACGTCACTGGAGCAAATAGAAATGAAGGAGATGAGGTCTTTATGAACAGCAAAGCGCCAGCTGAGAATCATACTTGACTCACAGTCCAAAAGGATTAAATCTCAGACCCTAAGAGGGAAGAACAAAATGCAGATAATCTTTATTCTATACTTTACAGTTACCATTTTTCTTCTCTTCTCTAATCTTCTTCATAATCCATATATTACTCTTATTCAATCTCTCTTTAAATCTCTCATTCTGCAGTCATTCTCACTACATGCTTTGACAATCTAAATTGTTTGTTCTTATCTTTTTTTCCAGTTAATATTTTATCCCTCTATTTGGGTCTCTAGTTCTGGCATAATACTTATGCTTTTAAGTTATCTTTATTCCCGGTGCCCNGTCTGCAGTGATTTTGGAGCCCAAAAAAATAGTCAGCCATGAAGATGGTAAACCCAGCCTGCATTCAAGTTCCTCTGAACATGACCATATCTTGGACTCACATCTTTAAGAACATGTTCACTTTCCATGGCTTAAACATGTTACTGAGGTTTTTTTTGTCATGTTTTGCTACTGTTGCTTTGTTTTGATTTGTCTTGAGGTTTGTGAATAACATTTCTATTGAGATATAACTGATATATATTATTATATTAGTTTCAGGTATAAAACATAGTGATTCAGTATTTGTATACATTGAAAGATGAGCATCATAATAAGTCTAGTTAAATTTATCACCACACAGTTATAATTTTTTCCTGTGATAAAACTACTAACATTACTCTCTTAATAACTGTCAAATGTACAGTATGGTGTTTTTAACCATATTCCCTGTGTTATACATTATATCCCTATGATATTTATTTTATAACTTAAAGTTTATAACTTTTGACCATTTTCATCCATTTTGCCCAATCGTCAGCCCCTGTCTCTGGCAGCCACCAATCTATTACATCCATGAGTTCAGATTTTTATTTTTTTGATCCAGTGTATAAGTGAGATCACACAATATTTGTCTTTCTTTGTCTTATTTCACTTAACATAATGCCTAGAAAGGCCTTCTATGTTGCTGCAAGTACGAACATTCCTTTCTTTTTATGGCTGAATAATATTTCACACATTTTCTTTGTCCATCATTCCATCGATTGTCTCTTAGGTTGATTCCACACCTGGGGTATTATAAATAATGTTGCAATGAACATGGGGGTGCAAATGTTTTTCCTTTTTTCTTTCTTTCTTTCTTTTAACCCTGTCATATGGCTTGTAGCAAGCTGTGGAAAATTCTTAAAGAGCAGGGGATACCAGACCACCTTGCCTGCCTCCTGCAAAACCTGTCTGAAGGTCAAGAAGCAAGAGTTAGAACCTGTCATGGAACAATGGACTGGTTCAAAATTAGGAACGGAGCATAAGCTGGAATCAAGATTGCCAGGGGAAATATCAATAACCTCAGATATGCAGATGACACCACCCTTATGGCAAAAAGTGAAGAGGAACCAAAGAACCACTGGATGAAGGTGAAAGATGAGCGTGAAAAAGCTGGCTTAAAACTCATCATTCGCAAAATGGAGATCATGACATCCAGTCCCATCACATCATGGCATATAGATGGGGAGACAATGGAAACAGTGAGAAAACTGTTTTCTTGGGCTCCAAAAATCAATGCAGATAGTGACTGCAGCCATGAAATTAAAAGATGCTTGCTCCTTGGAAGAAAAGCGATGGCAAACCTGTTGCTGTCATGTGCTTAGTCGCTCAGTTGTGTCTGACTCTTTGCGGCCCCATGGACTATAGCCCCCAGGCTCCTCTTCCATGGGGATTGTAGAGGCAAGAATACTGGAGGGAATGCCATGCCCTTCTCCAGGGGATCTTCCCAACCCAGGGATTGAATCCAGGTCTCCCACATTGCAGTTGGATTCTTTACCATCTGAGTGATCAGGGAAGCCCTAGATAAACCTAGACAGCATGTTAAAAAGTACAGATGTTACTTTGCCAACAAAGGTACATCTAGTCAAAGCTATGGTTTTTCTAGTGATCATGTATGGATGTGAGTGTTGGACCATAAAGAAGACTGAGAATTAAAGAATTGATGCTTTTGAACTGTAGCGCTGAAGAAGGCTCTTGAGAGACTCTTGGACTGCAAGAAGATAAAATCATTCAGTCTTTAAGGAAATCAGTGTTGAATTTTTACTGAAAGGACTGATGCTGAAGCTGAAGCTCCAATACTTCGGACACCTGATGAGAAGAGCTGAGTCATTAAAATAAAACTTGATCAGGGCAAGATTGAAGGTAGGAGGAGATTAGCGCAGAGGATGAGGTGTTTGGATGGTATCGCCAACTCAATGGACATGAGTTTGAGCTAACTCTGGGAAATAGCGATGGACAGGGAAGCCTGGCATGCTGAAGTCCATGAGGTCACAAAGAGTCAGACAGAACTGAGCAACTGAACAAAAACAACATATTTGGCTGTGGGATCTCAGTTCTCTGACCGGGAATTGATCCTGGTCCATGGCAGTGAAACTCCAGAATCCTAACCAGTAGATCACCAGGGAACTCCCTCAAATTTTTCTTTGAGTTAGTGTTTCAATAACATTTTTGATAATACTTTTACCTAACTGTATTTGTTTACTGTCATTCCAAACAAAAATATTTGTTAAATTAATAAAATAATAAATTGTGCATGCCACAACGTGCAATGATTCCCTAAGATAAATTATTTATTCAAATGGCCTTTGGGATTTGAAGGCATATTTAACTCAAAGTACTTATTAACCCTATTGTTAAATCCTGCTTTCCCCTTTATCGAATTTATTTTTATTATTTTTTAGAAAAAAACACAAATTGATGGCAAAAACTGTAGTTTTCTCAAGGAGTAATTTTGAAGACAAATGATGACAAATAAATCTAACAAGTTTAAGAATCATTCCATGAATGATTAAGTAGTCTGCTAGATTAAGTGTAATGAGGGCTAATTTTTGTTATTTCCAATGAATATAGCTATGTTCACATGAGATAAAAATTCAATAGATTTTACAAACTTTTAAAAACTGAATAAAGAAATATGGCATGATTTGTTCGTGTATTTTCAAAGAAAATACTATGTAAATATGTAATTAGAACAAAAAAATTTGAGACAATGCTGTGAAATATTTGAACCAGGTTTTTTTTTAATTGATTTCATTCTGGGTTAAATAATGGAACAATATTAATATCTTTTGGATATCAATTATGTTTGGAAGCTGAGAAATATATGTTTCTTTTGAGAGAAAGAAATGTTTTAATAATATGGATATATTATTTTATATATGTTTTAATATATTTTAATAGTATGGATGACTACCAATTATGAATAGGCATATCTAAGATGACTTATTTTCATACAAAATTAACAGAGATAATCCTTATATTTATAATTGACTAACAGCAAAATTTCATATAGGTATGTACACATAGCTGAGTTAAATGAACCACAAGGAACCATATTTTTTATTTCCAATTAGGTCATTTATTGGTCATCAACATAAGTCATCTGTTAGTGTCCAAGCTAACAAATGCCAGGGTACATGCTTCTAAATAATACATTTTCTCAAATTCTTCAGTTTTTCATGCTATATAGGCCTAGGCCAATTTCAATTCATCGACTGAATAATGTTATGTCGAATCCACTCATGGTAGCAGATGTTGGGTTACTATAGTCAGAGTTTAGTAGAAACTGGAGAAACCACATCTTCTAAAGAACAGTGGGCGGTGACAGCAGCCAGAGCCAAAGCTTCCGAAACCAGAGCCACATCCACATCCGTAGCTTCCGAAACCAGAGCCACATCCGTAGCCTCCAAAGCCAGAGCCAAAGTGCAGCCTGCGGAAGCTGCCGCATCCACAGCCGCGGCCGAAGCCCAGGCCGCCGAAGCCTCCGCAGCCGCAGCCCAGGCCTCCGTAGTAATTGCTGGAATGGCACATGGTGTCAGGGGTGAGTCCGGTTTGCTGTTCAGACCAGGTCCTGAGTGTGGATGTCAGCTTGTGCGGAGGGACGCTTATATACCTTGGTCAGAACACGTGGTTAAGCATGTGACCATTCCTTTGTATCATTTCAAGTTGGGCATTTACCTGAGGCAAATTGTTAATCTGTTTGCTGACACGAGGAGAGGCCCACACTCATTAACTTGTTTGAGATTGCATAACTGCCTGGTTAAAATGTTCTTGAACTCATCACATTCTTTTTTAATGAGAAGAAAATGTCTTCAAAGTCACAGAATAAAAATTCCCTGAATAGAATTCTTCCTTACTAAGCATATTGCATCATTCTTATTTGACGGTGTTTTTGCATTGAACATTTTCTCATTTTCATAGCATTCTTTGGATTGTTGTGTATTAATTCCACCTAGATTTAAAAACAATGATCAAAATTAAAAATTTCAAGTCTATAAAATTCTTTAAAACAATATCAAATTTATTTTCCATTTGTATATATATACAGATAGATAGATAAATAGATAGATGTGGAGAAGTCAATGGCACCCCACTCCAGTACTCTTGCCTGGAAAATCCCATGGACGGAGGAGCCTGGTAGGCTGTGGTCCAAGGGGTCGCTAAGAGTCGGACATGACTGGGCGACTTCACTTTCACTTTTCACTTTCATGCACTGGAGAAGGAAATGGCAACCCACTCGTGTTCTTGCCTGGAGAATCCCAGGGACGGGGGAGCCTGGTGGGCTTCCGTCTATGGGGTCACACAGAGTCGGACACGAATGAAGTGACTTAGCAGCAGCATATATAGACAGAGATTATACATAATATCCATATATTATATATATGTGTGTATATATACACACACACACATACAAGAAAACTATTTTGATTTTATGCAACAGCTTACATAGCTTCCTTTTGATTTATCAACATAAATGTATTTTAGGGACTGAGGGACTAACCAAGGGAACTAACTCTCTTTCAAGAGCAGTTTGAAAACCATGAAAAAAATATTCTCTTAATATCATTATCCACTTTTCCAAAATGCTTAATATCCAAATATCTTAAAATGCAGATGATTTTACCTCTTTGCTTTACACTTATCCTTTCTCTTCTCTACTCATTTTCATAACCCATATATTACTCTTTTATTCAACTTCTCTTTAAATTTCATTCTACACTGATTCTCATTACATGTTTGTGCCATCTAGAATTTGTATTCTTATCTATTTTTCCAATCATTATTTTATCCATTTGTCTCTAGTTTTATCATAAATCTCTACTTTTAAATTTTCTTTACCAATTCTGTGCATCCCATCCCCTTATTTTGTCTCAGGTGATCAGCAAATAATTTTTCATAAAGTATTCCTTATTCATTAAGATTAGATTTACAAATTTTATATGCTTTTAAAAATTATGGCAAATACCAATGCAACATTGTGAAAAAAAATTTTGTACACTTAAATTATTACAGCTGAAAATATATATGCAACACTTTTAACAAAACTTCTTAAAATCCTGGTGCCTTGAATAACTCCAAAAATGAAAGTGCAGTGATGGAATGCCTGAGATAGGAACAGGTATATGAAGTAGTTGGCCAGTCTTCTGCTGTTTCTTCGTTCACTCTGTGACTGTGAAGATGATAAACCCAACCCCCATACAAGCTCCTCTATATGTGATCATATCTTGATCTTGGGTCTTTAACATGTTCGCTTTCTATGACTTAACCATGTTACTGAGGATTTTGTGCTGTTACTGTTGCTTTGTTTTCATTTGTTTTGAGATTTATAAGTAACATTTTTATTGAGATATAGTTGACATACATTATTATATTAGTATCAGGTATACAAAATAATGATTCAATATTTGTGTATGTTGTAAATGATTACCATAATAAATCTAGTTAAATCCATAACCACACAGCTGCAATTTTTTCCTGTGATAAAAAACTGTTCAGATATACTCTCTTAATAACTTTCAAATATGCAGTATGGTATTATTAACCATATTCCCTATGCTGTATGTTAAATCCCATGATATTTTATTTTATAACTGGAAGCTTATAACTTTTGACCACTGTCATACATTTTGCCCAACCCTTATCCCCCATATCTGGCAGCCACCAATCTATTCTATCTGTGAGTCCACAGTTTGGTTTTTTAGTGCCACATACAAGTGAGATTATACAATATTTGTCTTTCTTTGTCTTATTTCAGTTAGTATAATGCCTTCAAAGTCCTTCTATGTTGCTGCAAGTAGAAAGATTTCTTTCTTTCATAGGTAAATGATATTTCATTTTATAAATAACACATTTTCTTTGTCTATTTTCCCATCAATTGTCTCTTAGATTAATTCTACACCTAGACTAAGGTAAATAATGCTGCAGTGAAATTGGGAATGCAAATATGTTTATTTTTTTTTCTTTTCTTTCTCTTTTTGCCTTGCCACATGGCTTGTGGGATCTCAGTTCTATGGCCAGGAACTGAACCTGGGCCATGGTAGTGAAGCTCCAGAATCCTAACCACTAGGTAAAAGAGAACTCTGCACAAATATCTTTTTGAGTTAGTGTTTTAATTACATTTCGATAACATTTTTGATGATACATTTTCAGAACTGGATTTGTTTTCTGTCTTTCCAAACTAAAAACCTTGTTAAATTAATAATAAATTTTGCATGTCACAGCTTGTAATGACTCCCTAAGATGAATTATTGACTTAAATGACTTTCAATTTTAATGGAATACTTAACTCAAAGTAATAATTAATCCTACTGTTAAATCCTGTTTTCTCCTTTATCAAACTTTATTACATCTTTATTTTTTATTCTAAAAAATATGTGGCAAAAACTATACTTTTCTCAATGAGTTATATTTAAGTCAAATGATGACAAATCTAACAAGTTTAAGAATCCCATGAATGATAGCTATACTGAGTGTGAAGTGTGAAAGTTGCTCAGTCGTGTCTGACTCTTTGCAACCCGGTGGACTACAGAGTCCATGGAATTCTCCAGGCCAGAATACCAGAGTGGGTAGGTAGTCTTTCCCTTCTCCAGGGGATCTTCACAATCCAGGGACTGAACCCAGGTCTCTCGCATTGCAGGCAGATTCTTTACCAGCTGAGCCACAAGGGATGTACATATTGAGTGTGATGAGGGCTAATTTTTGTTCTTATTTCAATGAAAATAGCTATGTTTGCATGAGATAAAAGCCAATAGAACTTATAACTTTTAAAAAAGCTGGATAATGAAATATGCCATGATTTACCTGTGCATTTTCAAAAAAAATAACAATATGTGGATATATAATTAAGATAAAAAATTAGAAAGCAAATCTGCAAAATATACTGGCCAGGTATATTTTTTATTGATTTAGTTGTGAGTTAAATAAGGGAACAATGGCAATATCTTTTGGATATTAATTTGAAAACTGAGAAATACAAATTTCTTTTGAGAGTTTTCTTGACCTTTTGTTTGCTTTGTGTTTGTTTTTTGTTTTGGTTAATTCAGTGGACTCAAAGACTCGGGCAATTCTTTGTTAGCCTTTTTGGGAACTGTCTACAAGAAGGTAATGAGTTGATTATGAACCTAAGATCCTGTTTTTGCCATGCTAAATGATGAAGACATATTCTTTCATTGGCCAAATTATAGCTTTTATTTGGAAGCAAAGGGCACTTGTGGTGGCTCAGCGGTAAAGAATCCGCCTGCTACTGCACGAGACATGGATTCAATCCCTGAGTCAGGAAGATCCCCTAAAGAAGGAAATTGTAACCCACTCCAGTAGTCTTGCCTGGAAAATCCCATGGAAAGAGGAGCCTGGCAGGTTACATTTCATGGGTGTACAGAAGTGTCAGACATGGATGAGGGAGCCCAAATTAGCAACTAAACAACAAAAGGCACTTCTACCACTAGTTCAAAATGTGTTTCTTAGAAAAAATTAATTGAATCATGAAGTAGGATGTAATAAAATATGACAATATATTTGACTAGAAGTATCATACACAATACTTCTAATGACATTGATGGCAGTTTTAATTTTTAGCCATATAGGGCATGTCCATAGTTAGAACCGGAAATTTAAGAGCAGACTGGTTCCATATTGGGAAAGGAGTACATGAAGGCTGTATGTTGTCATCCTATTTATTTAACTTCATGCAGAGTATCATGGAAAATGCTGGGCTGGATGAAGCACAAGCTGGAATCAAGATTGTCAGGAGAAATAGCAATAACCTCAGATATGCAGATGACACCACTCTTACAGCAGAAAGCGAAGAAGAATTAAGGAGCCTCTTGATAAAAGTGAAAGAGGAGAGTGAAAATGTTGGCTTAAAACTGAACATTCAGAAAACTAAGATCATGGCATCTGGTTTAATCACTTCCTGGCAAATAGATGGGGAAACAATGAAAACAGTAACAGACTTTATTTTCTTGGGCTCCAAAAATCACAACAGATTGGGACTACAACCTTGAAATTAAAAGATGCTTGCTCCTTGGAAAAAAGCTATGATAAACCTAGACAGCATATTAAAAAGTACAGACATTACTTTGCCAACAAGTGTCCATATATCAAAGCTATGGTTTTTCCAATAGTCATATATGAATGTGAGAGTTCAACAATAAAGAAAGCTGAGCACCGAAGAATTGATGCTTTCAAACTGTGGTGTTGGAGAAGACTCTTGAGAGTCCCTGGGACTGCAAGGAGATCCAACCAGTCCATCCTAAAGGAAATCAGTCCTGGGTGTTCATTGGAAGGACTGATGCTGAAGCTGAAACTCCAGTACTTTGGCCACCTGATGAGAAGAGCTAACTCATTAGAAAAGACCCTGATGCTGGCAAAGATTGAAGGCAGGAGGAGAAATGTTCAACAAAGGACAAGATGGTTGAATGGCATCACTTACTCAATGGACATGAGTTTGAGCAAGCTCCAGTAAAGGGTGAAGGACAGGGAGCCTGGCGTATGGCAGTCCATGGGGTCGCAAAGAGTCGGACATGACCGAG